AAATGGGTTTACTATGATCCTCTATATAACAAATAGATCATCCATATCGTACTATGATCCTCTATATTATACATAGACAATTCATATTATACTATGATCTTCTATATTATACATAGATAATTCATATCATACTATGATCCTTTATATTATACATAGATCATTCATATTATACTATGGTCCTCTATATTATACATAGACCATTCATATTATACTATGATCCTCTATATTATACATAGACAATTCATAATATACTATGATCCTCTATATTATACATATATAATCCATATCATACTATGATCCTCTATATTATACATAGATCATCCATATCATACTATGATCCTCTATATTATACATAGACAATTCATATTATACTATGATCCTCTATATTATTATATAGACCATTCATATTATACTATGATCCTCTGTATTATACATAGACAATTCATATTATACTATGATCCTCTATATTATACATAGACAATTCATATTATACTATGATTCCTCTATATTATACATAGACCATTCATATTATACTATGATCCTCTATATTATACATAGACAATTCATATTATACTATGATCCTCTATATTATACATGGATCATTCATATTATACTATGATCCTTTATATTATACATAGACCATTGATATTATACTATGATCCTCTATATTATATATAGACCATTCATATTATACTATGATCCTCTGTATTATACATAGACAATTCATATTATACTATGATCCTCTATATTATACATAGACAATTCATATCATACTATGATCCTCTATATAACAAACAGATCATCCATATCGTACTATGATCCTCTATATAACAAATAGATCATCCATATCGTACTATGATCCTCTATATTACAAATAGATCATCCATATTGTACAGTGATCTTCCATAGTGTACTATGAATCTCTGTATACTATTATAACTCGTCATACTGCTTCCTTTTTGCAAGAGGTTATGATGGATATTTACTGTGTGAGGCCGCCATCTTGAATACCCCATCTTAACACTAAACAAGATACTTTATTTTTTATTTAGTTGCTATGCCGTATTCAAGATGGCAGAACCCATAAAATAAATATCACACTTATTTTCTTATCAGTTGTACGCCTGCTGACTGAGGTATGCGTCTATTGCAGGTGGACTTTGAAGTATTTGACCTTGGTGGAGGAACTTGCTTGCACGACTACTTGGAAATAAGACACGGTACTTCTGAATCAAGTGATTTATTTGGTGTTTACTGTGGTGGTATCGGTAGGCAACCACCCCCAGTTATTTTGACTGGTGAGACAGATGGACTTTACATGGAATTCAAGTCATCTGATGAGCTGACAACACGTAACAGGGGATTTAAGGCTTTATACAAAATGTCGGAATATATACCCATATCTGGTGGTAAGTTGAAAGAAAATATAACGGCATTACGTAGTGCATTTGCGATGTTATATAGTGCATTTATCATATTATGTAGTGCATTTATCGTATTTTGTGGTGCATTTATCATATTATGTGGCGCATTTGCCATGTAATGTTGTACATTTATCATATTATATAGCGCATTTATCATATTATGTGGTGCATTTATCATATTATGTTGTGCATTTATTGTATTATGTGGTGCATTTATCGTATTATGTTGTGCATTTATTGTATTATGTGGTGCGTTTATCATATTATGTGGTGCATTTACCATTTTATGTGGTGCATTTACCATGGTATGTAGTGCATTTATCCTATTATGTGGTGCATTTACCATGTTATGTGGTGCATTTATCATGTTTTGTGGTCCATTTATCATGTTTTGTGATGCATTTATTATATACAGTGCATTTATCGTATTGTGTGGTGCATTTATCATATTATGTGATGCATTTACCATATTATGTGGTGCATTTACCATGTTACGTAGTTCATTTATCATATTATGTGGCGCATTTGTCATATTATGTGGTGCATTTATCGTATTATGTGGTGAATTTACATATTATGTGGTGCATTTACCATGGTATGTGGTGCATTTATCATGTTTTGTGATGCATTTACCGTATTATGTGGTGTATTTACCATGTTATGTAGTTCATTTATCAATATTATGTGGCGCATTT